ATATACATATATTAATAGATTTAAATATGTTTATTAATCATTCTCATAATTTATACACCCAAATATACAATAATGTAATTTGCTTAATGTACGACTTTCGTTTTGTTTTGCATGTAACTCATTCTAATAACACTAGGAAATCAAATATGCTATCTAAAATATGATGCATAATAGTATGTAAATACGAAATTAATGCCGATATTTGAAATATGCTTTACCTTCGTACACTAGAATTTATCGTAATCGAAACGCAGCGTTTCGTTGTAACTTGTTTATTTATATTTTTTTATATTTTTGTGTTTACTAAAAATATGACTAACATTTATATAATCGAATTTATTTGCACTTAATCCAAGTTTGAATTTATCCTTTAGCACTAAGTCTTTCCTATGCTGATTATGAATTTCAATTGCAATTGTTGCTCTTACTACTTAGTATACCTAGAAAAAATACATACATTTACAATCGTTTCGTGTTACCTTCTGTCTGTGCACATGGAGGGTTCTTATTGGTTGGTGTTCCCAGCAAAGAGTCAAATGAAATACATTCTTGTCTTATGTAATTTGTGTTCGCATTTTGCATTTTAATTCAGACAATGTTGTTTTGTGTTTTAATATTTGCTACAATTCATTACTTCAATATTTGCCATTTATTAAACTAAATTTAAAGAAGTACGCTCTATGTGTATACTCAAATCTACGATTAGATTTCTGATATATACGCGATTGTGTGTATATGTAAATATGTACATAATTATTAGGCAACCACTTAAGCTTAGTTTCTTTTCATTTTGTGTTTCTTTTTTTATAAAAAAAAAATGTATTTATAATCATTTTTTTACGCAATTTTCCACTTGTCACATGAGTGTACTAAAAACCAAAAACTGTACATCAATCGTAACCATTTTTGATCAACTCGATTTCATTCTTCATTGTCATTCATTCGTAATCATTATCATTAGCATTAGCATTAGCATTATCATTATCATTATCATCAACATCAACAGCATGGTACAAAACAATGGTAACCAAACCAAGCTACATATTTATGTCTAAAAACTCGATACATAGTTTTATTTATATTATAATAATAGAAAAAGCAAAGAATAATAGCACATAAAATCAACCAATTTCTTAATACAAATGTTCTCTTTACAGGCGAAGCTGTTGATGTGTGCCTATTTGGTTTTTAGATCTTTTAGTACTTAAGCTAGTTTGGTTTTCAATAACGCATGTTTTCCCTTTTGAGCTAGACTAAAACAATTGTTATAATATTTAGTACACAATTAGCTTCACTGCTGCTCCAGATCCTCAATACATTGACTTTCATGAAGCGTACATGCGATTAATGTCGTGCTGATATTTGTCCTGGATGTCCTTGCGCTTCAGCTTAAAAGCAGCCGTCACTAAACCCATATCCGGCGACCAAACTTCCTTGCACAGCGTTATGGCAGCGGGCACCTCGTACTTCTGCAATTTGCCTGCAGGAAAAAAAAAAGGAATTTAAAGTTCGTTAAAATGACGCAGAAAAATCAAACATCATTTTGATATTACATTTCCGCGCATGCTCGCTGATTTCCTTGAGTATGGCCTTCTCCATGATTGGCGATGAGCACAACTCCTCGAACGTTTTGTTTTTTAGTCCATTCCGTTCGGCCAACTCTTCCAGATGTTTCTGATTCGGCACGACCAGCGCGACGGTAAATTGTTTTGTTGGATCGCCATAGACACAGATGTTCTCGATAATGCCGCAAGTCTTCAGCTCTGACTCAACTTTGCCCAGGGAGACATATTCACCAGCCTGAAGCTTAACCAAATCCTTCTTACGATCTGCAGGCAAGTAGAGGAGCAAAGTTAGCAACGATCTCAATTGTGAATCACATCTAAGGACCACTCACCAATAATCTTAAGTACGCCATCTGAGTGCACTTCGCCAATGTCGCCGGTTTTGAACCAACGCCGTCCATCCTCCTCGAAAAAGTCCTCATTGGTCTTGGCAGGCAGTTTATAGTAACCTTGCGACACACAATCGCCACCAATCACAACTTCGCCCTGTGGATAGGGTTTGTTGGTAACACGGTAATTGCCCTCCTCCCAGTTGACCAACCGAATGTCGCACACAGTCAGCGGTCCACCAGTGCGGCCATAGGTCATGTCCCGGGCTGCAAGCATTTAAATAGAACTTTAATACAACCTTCAGTATTATATAGACCATTTCACTTACCATCCATCACTGTGGCCCCCGACGTGGTCTCTGTCAGTCCGTAGCCCTGTATTAGATCAACGCACAGGCACGTCTTGATCTGCTCGTGCGTGTCGGCCGAAAGCGGCGCACCGCCGGACATAATAATGCGCACCTTGCCGCCCATCAGCTTGGCCACCTTCTCAAAGACCAGCCTAACGAAGCAAAGGAGTGTAAATATTATAAAATTGATTATAAATCCATGCTCCATGCATACTTGTCAATTAGCGGCGTCCGATATCCGCGCTGTACCCATTTGACTTTGTACTGGTAGAGGAATTTGAAGAGCGCCTTCCTGAATGGTGAGCCCGAGTTGACCTTGTCGTTGATGCCCTTGGAGATGCGATCGAGTATCAGCGGCACTGACGTCATGCATGTGGGCTTCAACACCGAGGCGTCACCCTTGCAGCCCCGCTTAATCTTGCTGCTTGTGTCGATAAGCGTCAGCGGCGTCGAATAGCCAATGGAGATGCCCGTCATCAGGCAAACACTCTCGGCCACCAGCTCGAATACGTGCGCCAGCGGCAAAAAGCCAATCAACACGTCTTCCGGATAAATCGTAACCATGTCGCAGAAGCCCTTCATGGTGGCAATGCAATTCTTATGCGACAGCAGGACACCCTTTGGCGTGCCCGTCGAGCCGGAAGTGTACATAATGATGGCAGTGTCCTCGGCCTTTGGCGGCACATTCTCTGTAAGGGAAACAATAGATTAATTGTTGAATTGACTCATTGATTTATTGACTCATTGACTCATCATTCAGACTCACCAAATTTGCTATCGTTGCCAATTTTGACGACTTGAGCGAACGGCAGTATTTTTACGCCTTCCTTGAAGCCAGTTGTTTCGGTTTTATGCAGCTGATCCTCCATATAGATGATGGTGTTCACCTTGGGGCACTTGTCCAGCAGGGTCTTGAACTTTGGCAACAGATCGTGCGAGGTGATGACAGTTGTAACTTCAGTTTCACTTATGCCTAGCATAGAAATTGAATAAAATTAGCAAACGAATCAACTGCCGTTACTTTTCATCGACTTACAGTGGGCCACACCGTCATCGCCCAGCGTTGCATAGACGGTAACAATGGACATGGCCTGCTTGAAGCAACCATGGGCCGCTATCAGCCACTCGGCGCGCGTCTCGGCAAAGATGACAATGTTTTCCCGTGGCGCCTGGCCCAGTTCGCGTAGTCCACGTCCGAAGCTCGCCGCCATGCGCTCCGCCTCGATGAAGTTTTTCCACTTGTAGTCGCCCATGTTGTACTTCTTGAAGACGCGTCCGTTGGGCTGCATTTCGTCCTCTTCGCTGAGTATCTGACGCGTGCCCAGACAGCGTTTGGTCGAGTGCGTCTTGGCCACATAGTTGAAGACCTTCTCGAGCGTATCGATGTTCTCCTGCAGCATCTTCACATGGACCTCGCGCGGCGGCTCCGTGGTGCGGTACGTCAGCTCGGTTTCATCGCTCTTGATAATCTTTGCCTGCAACGGACGAACAGAGATGTGT